AGATATCCTACCCTGCCCGAGAATCCCACGGAAAAGAGATTCATTGCCATGCCTGTCCTCAGCCTCGCGCCCAATCAGCATCATCTCATGGTGCATAGAAAACATACGAAGATAAAGAGAAAGCACAATGAAACTGCCAAGCAAGAGCCCTTGCCCTCCCTTCAGTCCCAACAGGAAGGCAAATTCTCCGAGAATGCAAAGTGAAAACCAAGGGAGACGAAGTTGCTCTTACCCTGGCGACTGTTGCCGCGAGAGATGTTGTTGGCATGTTTGCCAGTATACTCGTTGTTGGCAAAAAACTTGTTGTCGAGAGTTGAATGGTAGATGCCATCGTCTTGAGCGTTGTTGACGTTGTTGATGTGATTGTCGTTGTTGCAGATGTCATCGTCATAAGCGCTGCTGATATTGTTGAAGCCGGTGGTGATAAAGTTGTCGTCACTATTTTGTGTGTCATTGATGAAACGTCTGTCGATATCTCGCCACTTACCTCATTTGTGTCTAATGACGTTGCCACTGGTGTAGTAGCCGTTATCGTTGTTGTCTCGTTTTTTGCTTCCCGAGTCTAGTGCCTGCAGCTTCCGGGCTCCCTTCCTGTCCTTTACTGAGCTCCTTATGCTGAGGTTTTGCGTACCTGCAGATAGCAGACATGTCTTCTGGTAGAGTTTCCTCGTGAGCTGTCGTAAATTGTTGTTGCAAGACACCCCTCCCAGTTGCTTCTCTGCTTCTGGTTCCGCTGCCACCTGGGCCTTGTGAGTGGTTGCGAGTTCTTGTACGCCGCTCCTCCAGGGCCCCGACGAGTATCTGGAAAAGGGTATTTTCGGTCGTCGCCCAGGTGTGGAGGTGCTCCACTGCATGCCAAGCTTTGCCGAACCGCAAGCGACACACTTTTTTGTTTTCTGGCTGGCGCCGCCAGCCATCGTCGCCCGGTAGTTCCAACGTGCGAGTTAAATAAAAAAGAGAAAAAACTAGGGCGACGACGTTGATATATCATCATTATTTTGAACTGACCGGCCTTGGGTACTGCAAATTTGCAGTACTTTACTGTCGAGTTCGAACTCAGGTCTCTACTTCAACAGTCGAGGGTATACTAACTGAGCTACTAGGCCAGTTGGTGGAGTAAAATTTTCAGGGGGTAACTAGAGCGCAGTCATGGTTTCATTAAAAATCCACTCCAGGCATCCGTCGAATACAACACATGCCCACCCGACCCTAAAGCTAGGTTGTATACATTCACCATTTTCCTTGCTTGGGCACAATATTCGTGAAACCATGACTGAAGCCCATTTTCCAACTGATACCGTGACTGCGCCCTACCGTAGTTTTCCCAATTTTCAGAGTAGGCGGCAACATTTTTCTGCAAGACTGGGACCATGTACTACCGTCTTCACCCGAATAGAGCTTCCAGTAATTATTGTCGTATCTGGGCTGAAAGTTGTGCCAAATACAGCCATGATGACCGGACGCTCTATTCGGGTGAAGACGGTAGCGTTTTTTTTCTTTTTTTCTTTTCAAAAGACGGGTGCGGTTTAACATCAACTCGAGGGTGAGAGATCTGGTAAGTTAAACCATTAGTACTTGTGTATTCAGTCGAGGATACGGCTAGGTGCCGAAAAGGTGACAAGTACAACATACATCACTGACCCCAAGGACACAAGAAAGGGCTGGGAAGGACGAAAGGGACAAGGGAAGAGAGAAAAGGAGAGGAGACGAAGAGATAGAACAATACGCAAAAGTACAAATATAATCCCGAGCGCAACTGTTATCAAAAAATACGAAAATGAAGTACTGGCGGAAGTGACCCGACGTTTCGGCCGGCCACCACCGGACTCATCAGGGGTCTTTGGTTCGCGGGGGGTGCCTAGCTGATCGCTATTCACCAATATATACCAAGCGTACCGAACTATTGACAGAAAGTCAAGACCAACAACATTTCTCTATAGTCCAAAAGAAACAGGTCTTGAACCGTCACCCTCAGAATTAAAGCAACCTTATAGCAGCCAGCCCCCTGATCCTTATACCGTGGGTCACCCAGCAGGCCCCATGCACAAACCCACTTTTATCATTAAACACAGCCCGCATACCCACAAAACAGCTAAAAAATCTAAACTGCCGCATAATGTGCCAGGTCCCAACAGTACCGCCGATCAAAATCAAACTTCCACGACCATGGTCCCACATCATGTAGCAGGTCCAAACAAATACCCATGTCCATAGTCCTATACCATATAATAACCCCAAAGAAAAAGCTCCCACAACCGTAGTCCCTCATCATCTAACAAACTGACAAAAGCAACAAATTCGGACCCACCGCGAATCTTCCATACACATCCACCACCGAGCATCAAAAATGTATACTACTAACTACAACAAAGAACATTCTCGGCGACCGTCGCCAACATCTGTGTCACCGAACCACAACTACCCCTACTTCTTCCCAAAATTGAGAAGGCATCTCCATCCAGTGAGCACAGGAATCCAAGCATCCCAGCATCCCGCAAATTTCCGTGAAAAGTTCCGAAGAGAGCAATCAAAGTAGTCATTGGGGTATCCTCTTAACCACAACTCGTGCTTCAAAGTGAGCAGAAAGTGGAACTCGAGGCCTGGAACAGAAGTGTAAGTGCGAGCACGGTGGAAAAAAGAACTGATAACTGCGAGTTTTTGCTTACGGCTGGAGTAAGATGCATAATCTTGAATGCACTGAAAAGATAGTGGTCGACCAACTTCCCGCCGCTGGTTCTTATGTGTCGCACAACATACAATCCGTCCAGGGTTACTCAGCACCAACACATCACAACCAATAAACTCACATCGCTGGCTCGAATTGGTTTGTTCCAACACTAGCCTTTCATCGTAACATCTATGAAAGGAGTCAAACAGGAAATCCGCTTTCTTCCTGGAGACAACGTCATTAGATCGGAACTTGATGAAAAGAGACACATCGTCAACAAGGCGGCAACCATTCACAAGTGACCGATCACACCCGATAGATGACAGAAAGGAAAACTTATTATACGCACACAGGAGATAGGCTAATGAGGGGCTAGTGGTTTGCCCCATAGGGATCCCGACTGTCTGGCGAATAACTTTACCCGATGCAACGACGTAAGTGTGGTCCAAGGCAAAAACCACAAACGACCAGATACTTTCCATACTCAGTTTCAACCAACCCATCTCCCCTTTACCTTTCATCAGTCTCACCATCCTTCCAAATCTGCGGACAAGTACCGCCTCAACACCCTCACCAACCCAATAATCAATAATCCATCGAAGTGCTTGAAGAATAGACTTGTGCGGCAAGTTAGAAAACATTTCCTTAATATCAAAGGAACCTCCCAACAACTCATCGCCCTTCTTGACCTTCTTGTTGATATCAGCAATCTTGCTTATCAACTCATCAGTGCGCCGCAAATTGAAGTGCATGCTACTGGGTAATTGCCACAACAAATAGTTGATCGCCCGTGCCACCCTCCTCGCCGCCGTCACAGAGCCTTCCAAATGAGAGGGACAGATTGGTCGCCATCATGAAACGTCCTTGTGCTTGGCCAGGCAGTAAGCACGTCGGAGTGTAGCATCCTTCTTCCACACGCCTATCTCAGAAAAAACCACTATCGATAAATAGACGTTTGCATCTGGCAAAAATTGTGTCTTCAGGATCTACGGACTCCTCAAATGCCGGGTTGTCCAAGAACAATTTCGTCATGCCTTTCCCATATATAAACGGACAACAAACCAGAGTGTCGCCCGGATTGTGGTCCAAAGGTGAGAAGACCATGCCCGACAGTCTATCTTGAAATCTCCAAACCTCATCGACGGTGCAAGCACTAGCAGTTGGGGATAAGAAGGTGGGGAACCGGAGGAAACAAGAAGAGAGATCAACCGTTCGGAGAGTCTGAGAATCCAATGTGGGAAGAAAAGACGAGTCAAATGATTTCAGAATTTGCCTTTCCAGACTAAGAATAGGACGAGTAGTCGAGGAACATAAAACGTTCCTGGAGTTTGACATGAAGGGAGGTAGGTCATCCCGCTCAGCACATCGAAAAACAATATGACCATCGTCCCGTGAAAAAATCTCATCGACCTTCGTACAACAACAACTAAAGTCACCTTCCCTTGCTACAGATCGAAAGTTGTGCAACACATCGCCAACGGACTTATTTCAACAAAACACTACTCGCATACGCCGAATTACCATCGCCCTCCAAGACTCTTCCGATATCAGTTTGGTTACCAATTGAGAGCATACCTTCCGAAAGGCAGTTTTACACAATCGGTGATCGTAGACAATCCGCACCACTACGCGTTGTCTTATCGACACACCAAATCTCGCAAGTACCGCCTTGGACAGGATGGTCCGGAGTCGACCACGAGACCGTTTATCCTGAAAGCATCTGATGGAGGAGAAGGCATACACAAGTTGACCAAAGTTCCATGACTGCAGGACTCTACGAGATGGAGGTGAACTAAGAAAGCTCGCTAAACAAGGTTTTAACGAAAGCGATTTATAGCAGAAAGGCACAACAGTCTCAAAGAAAAGAATACACCCTCCCTTCAGCCATCCTCGTGAATGCCGTAACTGGTCCCGACAGAAATCACATGAGACAATAGATGACCCAAAACACCTCCTGATCACCTTCCAGTTATCCGACAATACACATCCACCACGACAAACAATGAGAACGGATGAAATAAAACGATCATGACAGTAATTAAGCACCTTGAGAAGACTGTTCGATGCCTCACGGGTAGATGGATGGAAGATTACCAATGAGCGGTCAAGAACCGATGAAGACACAACACTGCCCACTCCTACGCGTCGACCCAATGCACGCGCCCTCTTTTTTTTTCCTGGTCTCCGTTTCCTATTTCTCTTCGGCTTATCTCGAACGTTGAGAGAAGAGGAAAACAAACGAATGAAAAACTTCTCGGTAGATTCTAGTTCCGCATCCAAGCAGCAACAAATCGGAATCGCTACATATTTACCCGCACCATACCTCCGTAGCCAACGGTAGAGCCGTTCATTTCTCGTGCCTTTTTCAATGAGGGAGACATCACATGCCGATAATCATGCTCCCCCCACCGTACAGAAAGGTTCCGCCTAGTACTGCCTACATACAGATGTCTGCACCACGGAGAGATGAGCACGTAGACCAACGGACCTTCCACCACACCACCAGACTTCCACCAGTGAAAAAGATATGGCGCTAGCTTATCCGCCCATGGAATAGACTTGAGAAGAATGAGTGGAAGAACCACAAGACGAAAGAGGGAGTCAAGGACCTTGAGACGAAGATTATAGATGGACAAAGATCGTAGACGAGAGCAAGAACGAGCTAAAGACCATAGCATAGCCACGCTCGGGAGGGATCCTAAGATGTAGCAGAATTCCTCCCATCGCCCTTACCGTCATTCCGCGCCCCGTCACCAAGATCGTCTGAGATCTCTTGGACAGCCGCCTTCTTGCCGAACGCTCGCTCCCCTCGTTTCGCAATGATCTCTGTCACCGTCTCCGTCAGCGTTGTGTACTTGACGCCTTCTCTCATACATATCTCCATCACATAATCCTTCTTCAGATTCCGAAATTCTTTGCGTGCCTCTCGTAGGAACGCTTCACGCTCGTTGTCATCGTTACTGCCACCCATCTTCTTTGTTCTCACAGTTTTGGATCCTGACCCGCCGACACCTGCATCCGCTTCATCGAGCCGTTCGCGAAAACTGGACAGCGGGGTATGTTTCGCCACCTCGCGTCTAGCCAACTCCTCCTTGAGTTTGGCATTCTCACGCTCAATCTCCCTTTGTTGTTCTTTTAACTTCTCATTTTCCTGTTCGGCCTCCCGTCTCCAATTCAGCTCTTGTAACCTCATGCCCTTCAAAGCATCAACCTCCAGATTGTGCAATTCCCTCAACCGACTGTTGCGTCTTTCCTTGCTCGGTGCACAGGTAGCCGCGGAGGGTATCTCAAGCCCAGAGGAAGGTGAGGTAGCTAATCTACTCCGTTTATTGCCGGACTTCAGTGCCTCCTTCTTCCACGCCTCGGCTTCCTGCAGGGCCACCTCCCTCGCCTGCTTCAACGTACATAACTCTTCCTCCATAGTCTCCATCCTCTTACAAGCACCAGATGCGGACTCCAGCCTGGATTTCATATCTTCATGCTCCTGAAGCACACGGGCCAAGAGAGCATCATTGCCCGTTGTTGGGTTGCTGGTGGATGCGCCAGAAGGTGGTGCCCCACACCGTTGACCAACTTTGAGATCCTCGATCTGCTTCTTCAACGACTCCAATTCGCGATCCGCCGGTCTCTTGTTCGAGCGCAAGGCTCCACACGCAGATTCGAACTTGGCGTTCTATTCATCGCTGAGTTCTTTCTGAAAACTTTCACGTTCCTGCTTCTCCTTCAGTCGTCTCTCCTCATCTTCGCGTTCCTTTCGTAAACGCTCCTCCTCCTGTCGTTGGGCCAACAGTTTGGCCATCTCCGCGTCGTACCAATTCTTCAATAATGTCACGTGCTCTTCAAGCACGGCAACCCGTTGGTTGGTATTGAACCAACCACTCCCTTTAGCGTACTGCCCACTTGTACTGCTCACACCAGAAGCAGTAGTCACTATAGACGAGGTGGAGGTAGAAGAAGGGACAATTGACAAGGAAGGCATAGGAGGCAAGGGAGGTGGGGGTGGAGGGTTAGATGGTGTCGAGGTAGAGGCTAGAAGAGCGAGCAGGGGTGGGTTTGGTGCAGCAGGATTTTGCCGATGGGGACACCATCGAGCAAAGTGGTTCGGGTCGCCGTCGCCACAGTTATAGCATGTACGTACACTACCCGTCGGGACGTTCACCGTAGCAGCAGACTGTCAATCACAAAAGTAAGCGAAGCCACACAGCCAGTAGTCTAACTCCTACGGCGGTTACTCCGTGTAACAAAGTGTATTCAGTCGAGGATACGGCTAGGTACCGAAAAGGTGACAAGTACAGCATACATCACTGACCCCAAGGACACAAGAAAGGACTGGGAAGGACGAAAGGGACAAGGGAAGAGAGAAAAGGAGAGGAGAAGAAGAGATAGAACAGTACGCAAAAGTACAAAGATAATCCCGAGAGTGACTGTTATCGAAAAATACAACAATGAAGTACTGGCGGAAGTGACCCGACGTTTCGGCCGGCCGCCACCGGACTCATCAGGGGTCTTTGGTTCGAGGAGGGTGCCTAGCTGATCGCTATTCACCAATATATACCAAGCGTACTGAACTATTGACTGAAAGTCAAGACCAGCAGCATTAGTACTTGGCCTAGCTATCCGCAGCGGAAAAAAGTAGAGTAGAAACGTTCCTAGTCGGATTAATTTGGGCGCTCCTGTAGCGGCACCACTTTAGGAAGTACTGGTGGGTTAACCAAGCTTGATCGTGTATTGATGTACAGGGGCAAAGTACTTGGACCAGGTTCAGATGGATGGTCCCATACCCAGTCTCTCGGGTCTACAGGGCAAATTGTATGCAGGCATTGCAAGGGCAAATTGTATGCAGGGAATGACAGCGAAAAGGAAGGCAGGGAATGCTTACATTCCAAGACACAACACAGGTGTGTGTCAAGGACTGAGGGCCACCACTCACCAAACGACCAAAATGAGAAAGAATCTTCACCTAAAACATGGAAAGATACACCGCCATAATTCGTTCTCGTTTATGCAAATGGTCAATGGTGGTGGAGGAAGGCCCTGATGAATTGGAGGGAGCGGTTGCTGTGGGTCTGTCATGTGCATTTCAGGGCCCAGGTTTGAACACGCCATTAACCAACTAGAAGACTTGTTTAAGGTTTTTCTTTTTTTTTTTTCAAAACCACCAGTACTTGGCCCAGCTATCGGCCGCGGGAAAAAATAGAGTAGAAATGTTTCTAGTTGGATGAGTTTGGGCGCTCCTGTAGTGGCCCGTACGTTTCCTAAAATCGCGTAGCGTTAACGGGCACGACTTTAGCAAGTACTGGTGGTTTAATGGGGTATAACTAGGGCGCAGTCCCGGTTTCAGTTTTAAATCCAGTTCACGCATCCCTCGAATACAAAACATCCCCACCCAACCTTAACGCCGGGGTTGTATACATTCACGATTTTCCTCGGTTTGACAGAACATTCGCGAAATGGTGACTGCTACGCATTTTCAAACTGAAACTGTATCCAGAGGCCTAGCTCAGTTGGTAAGGCATGCAAGTGGCATTCAGGAGGCCTTGGGTTCAATCCCCATTGGCCTCATGTACCTTCCTGGGCAAGCTTGGCGCCCGCCACCTAGAGATATCATGATGCCGTCGGTCACCCCGAGTGGCATTGAGCAGAGACTGCTGATGTTCATAGGGGGAGGGGACCGGAGGGGAGGCACAGTGACTGGCCCATCGAAGACGCTCGGTCCTGATGCTACCAGCTGACCCCTGGCTGGTATCGCCCACCTGCTGTAGCAGGTATCGCACCTGCTGGTGGGTGCAGCTCCCACATGTTCCCTCGTTGGAGGCTTGAGCACGGATGTGGCTGCTACGGGGTTCCCCGTAATACTATAATGACAATAAAAATAGGCCTGAAAGGCCGTCCTGTCCAGATTTGACAGGTCATTGAACTGGTTGGGCTTAAAGAATTAGCCTTTAAAGGGAA